AAACTTACAAAAGGTTGATGAACAAGATAATTAATTAACATATATATATATATATATATATATATATAGTACTGGGTGATGAACTTTGTATATATATGTTGCAAATGGCAGAGAGGAGTTTCAAATTAGAATATAAATTGGAGATCAGAAAAGAGCTAGCTTGAGATTGTTGACATTTTCTTCTGCTTCTTTTAGCAGAGAAGGGAGAAATAAGATGTTGATGGTCAATGAAGAGCAGTTAGGTGTTAGGTCTGAGGAATCAGAGAGACATGGAAAATGAAAAATAAATCAAGATTAATTAATTAATTAATTGATAATTAAATACATTAATTATGTTGCTCTGAGGACTAACCATCTCTCCTGTGTTCAAATTTTCAAACAACTTGAATTGAAATTAGTAAAGTAAAAAGTCCAAAAGGATGTTTCAAATCAACATTATGCATTATATAATCATATTATATAAACATATAAAGTGTATGTTTATATAATTATATTAACCACAACGAGTTAAACTCAGGGTACAAATGAGTTTAGCCTAATTTGAAAAATGGGTTTATTCAAGCAGACTCCATTGTGCTTCCTGAACCTTTTTTTTTTTTTTTGACTAACTACAACTGCATATATATATATATGGATAGACCAACATAGCACACACACACACACACACACATACATATATATATATATGTATCTGTTCAGCCGGAAAACTTTATATATTTCATGGGTTTTTTTTTTTTTTGTATCCATACATATATATATATATATATATTTAGTTTGCTGAAAATCTGAATGATTCAAACACATGTCTGAAAGTAAGATGATGAGAGGTGGGGAAGATGATGATGGTTGAAGCAAATTTCATTTATTGATAAAGTTGACTAATTTTGTGCTGTTCATGAGAGGTCAAACTCACTTTAAATGCATATTGCTTAAGAAATCAGATTCCACAAACACAACATCCAATGACTTGTTAGGTTAGGTTGAATTGAGAAAAAAAAAAAAAGCTAGTCTTGACTTCCTACCTTACTTTCTTATAATGTCAAATTTACCCTTCTAAATTTGATATATTTACTGTTTTTTTTTTGTTTATAATAATATCATATTATAAGAGATATATATATATATATAGTTGTATGTCTAATTAAATATAATAGTTCAAACTCGATTATCTCGTTAGAAGTTGAAGTTTTAGGCACCCATATATTTTGACGTTTGAAAAAAGATAGAGATTTAGATTCTTTCTTCATTCGTCGAGTGATTTGTCTCTTTTATTGAAAATATAAATTGTTAGTTCTAATTCCATATTAAACTTTAATATCTCTAACGTAATGATTCATCTATTTAAATATTTATTTAAGTCAATTTTTTTTTAATGAATTAGTTAATATTAAAAGAACAAAATCTATTATAAAACGCAATACTCCGTACTTATTAAAAACGAATTTGACCCCTATATTATCGTTCTTAATCTTCATTTTAAACATGTCATTTTATAACCTTTATTGTATTTGATTGATCATGAGATCCTCCTCAACAATACGCATACTTTTTTTTATTCAATATATTTCGCCTTAGAAAAAGTTAATTTTAAACAGAGTTATACCGTGACTAACTTTGATAATTTCAATGGTCGACAAACGTATAATACACAATTTATTCACTTTAAATCAATCTAGGTATAATTTAAAATATTTTTATTACTCTGGTAAGATATACAGATATCATGATCATATAATATATAAGTGGTATCACGGATATGATCACCCAACTCAAACTAATGTAATGTATGTATCAAAAGCACGATATATATTGATTTCGTAACTCGTAAACGGCAAATTACTTGGCAGGCACTAAATTTTTTTTTATATAATGCAAACGTAATCTTAGTTAGGGTTCTTCTTTTGCTTACATTAATCATAGGTAGATGGTATTATATTTTATAGGTAATTACTTACACTAATTTCTTGGCTTCTACTTAATTTAGAGGCACATGATTTCTCTTTTTCTGTTGTTAGGAATAAAAATTCCTACAAATCCCACATCAAGGAACAGATTATGTAGCTAATTACTTCATTAGTTGGTGGTAGTTTTAATGACAGCATATAATAAGGTTTTAATTAGCAAAACTCTAATTAATATATAATTAGTGACGAGCTTAATCATTCACTTCAAATTAGGAGATTGTCAAAGTCACCTTTTACTTTTTTTTTTAAGTGATGAGGTTAGGATGGGAACATGAGTGATTGATACATACATATATATATATATATCTATTTATGTATATAGATGTAGACACACACACACACACACACCCATATATGTGTGTATATAGTTTCATATGATAGACACATATATCAACAGCTTCTTTAGGAAACAACTATTATTTTGACCCAAAAAACAAAAAAAAAAAAATGAAGAAGAAAAAATTACAGTTAAAATTAGAGATGACATAATATTAGATTACCCGATAATCATGTTCGAAATAAATAAAAATACATAATTAAGAAGATATACGACAAAAATAAGTAAATAATTTTTTTTATTTAAAAAAATAAGTAAAAAATTATAATTAGAGAATACTCACTTCAAATATATATAAATTTATATTTTTATTAACGAAATAATTATATAAATTGATGTATATAATATTAAATTACCCGTGTTCGAAATAAATAAAAATACATAATTATCATAGTACAAGACCAAGATGAATAAATAACTTTTTTACCTAAAAAATAAATAAAAATTTATATTTACGGAATACCCACTTCAAATATATGTATATATATATATAAATTTATATTTTTATTAACGAAATAGTTATACACAATATTAGATTATCGTGTTCGAAATAAATGTTAATTGTGTTCGAAATAAATAAAGATACATAATTAACATGGTATAAGACGAAGATGAGCAAATAATTTTTTTACCCAAAAAAATAAATAAAAATTTATAATTAGGGAATACCCACTTCAAATATATGTATATATATATATAAATTTATATTTTTATTAACGAAATAGTTATATAACTTGATATAAACACCTAATCATTAATTTATGAACGATCAGTTTAGATTAATTCAAATTGATTAAGTAAACGAAATTAAGTAGATGAAATTATGATTCAAATCCGATTGATAAAAACTTAATTACTTCTTCAACTGATGATTCTGATCTTGATAAGAGTTGAATGAAAGGATAAATAAGTTAGCTTCTGGATTGTATTTAAAATTTGGTATATATCAATCTTGACAATCTCTAATAAAGAACAAAGGGCTGAAAATAATATATTTATACGTATACATATATATATATATATAGTTGTTTGTAGGGAAAAGCTCTTTTCAGCTTTTCAAATCCACCATTGCATGCATGAGTAGACATAAAGAGTGAATATTACATTGATATGTTGTTCGTTTGCGGCTACCAAAGAAAAACACATACTTCTTAACCCTCCCCCCAGATCCACTTTTCACTGTAAATCTCTCGCATATTTCATAATATATGTATATATATATGTGTGTGTGTTTATATTCATATGTATACACATACAGTGTATATAAAGAGTGAATATTATAATCATATGCTGTTCGTTTGCGGTTACCTAAGAAAAACACATACTTCTTAACCCTCCCCCCAGATCCACTCTTCACTGTAAATCTCTCTCATATTTCATAATATATATATATGTGTGTATTTATATTTATATGTATACACATACTGTACATAAAGAATGAATATTACAATCATATGCTGTTCGTTTGCGGCTACCTAAGGAAAACACATACTTCTTAACCCTCCCCCCAGATCCACTTTTCACTGTAAATCTCTCTCATATTTCAGAATATATATATGTATATATATATATATGTGTACGTTTATATTTATATGTATGCACGTACTGTACATAAAGAGTGAATATTACATTGATCTGTTGTTCATTGCGGCTACCTAAGAAAAACACATACTTCTTAACCCTCCCCCAGATCCACTCTTCACTGTAAATCTCTCTCATATTTCATAATATGTATATATATATATGTGTGTGTGTATTTATATTTATATGTATACACTTATTGGGCCTTTTTAAATCTGTTTGCATTAGATCACTCCTGATTATGTATATATATTTATTTGCCTACCTAATTTTTTTTCCATAATTCAATGAATCGATAATCACACGATTTAAATATCGTACAATTACAAATATTTATAAGATCCGAGATCGTACCAATTATTTATAATTACGCTATCAAAACGATATATTACACAATCACAAATTATAATATAAAATACGATCATATTAGTTGGAGTGACAGAAGTGACACGTGCAGTAATACTATTTGTAATGTCTCGAGCTTAAACACCGTTAGTTCAATAATTTTTTGGAATTAAAATATTAATTTTAAGAAATTTTTACGTAATTTAAATTTTTATATAAAATTTAATAATTATATATTTTTTCTGAGATATTACGTCATGTTTGTATTTAAATTATTTTAAAGTGTAGCTAATAGATTTATTAAATACACAAATTGGAATATTTGATAAGCTATTTTAAATTTGATATGAAAAAATCGAGAATTTGTGATTTGTTGAAGCCCAGCAAGCCCAACTCCAGCAATGGAGGCCGAGAATCTCCGGCTTGATTTTCCCTAATTGGCAATTACTAGAAGATGAAAGACGATATGCGGAAGGCGATGAGATCATGAATGGGTTTTACCAGACGTGCAAAAAGCGACCGGATATGTATTAATTAGGTCACAAGGTGAGGATCAGTTGAAGACGATGAATCAGTGTGGCAGTGTTGCGACAATGGTTACAGTTTTCAGGCCTTCGCTGAGGCCTAAGTGCTTGGCTTCCGGCATTAACACAGAGGAGCTTCGTGCTCAACTTGACAAACTGCATGCTGAAGCAGACACCGCGCGAGCCAAAGGTAATAACCCTAATTTCCTTTCTCCGCTTCCTAATTTGATCAAGGAATCAATACCTTACTGTTCTTTCCACCGATAACCGCACCTTCTCGTTTTAATTCAGTCACAACTTGAATTTCTTCTTCATTTTTTTGTTACTGATTATTGAGTGATTCAAGTGATGCGTGATGATATCTGATTATGATATATTACTGATTTACTACTGCACCAAATTCCTGAGTTACTATGAAGTATTATCGGATTGGAAAAAAGGGACATTGCCTCCAAGGTAGCATGGTAGAAAGCCTGCTAATTGGGCACTTTTGAATGCTACTGTTGATGGTGTCAGAGTTTATGCTGAGATAAAGGAATTATTAGGTTTCTGCATAAAAGTTAATAAATCCCACCGCAGATAGAGTTGAGGGAAGAAAACTTTATGCTTCATGTAAAGTAAGGTATCTCAGAGGGGACAAGAAGTCCATTCAGGGGTTCAGCACAAACTCTCTGCATGAAAGAAATAATTTCATAGTAATTAATGTAAGAAAAGGTTGTGTCATATGAGATTAGGTATCTAATATAACAAAATAACTCCATCCAGCCTTTAGGGGTTCAGCACAAACTCTGGGAATATCAACTCTGCTTTGAATGGTATTCAAATTTATTTTGATATTGTTGATTCAGCAAACAGTGCCAGATTAAGACTGCTGAGGTTGTCAGAGACTGCGGAGAATCTTCGACGGCAAGCGGTTACTAGTATCCAGACTGGGAAGGAAAATGATGCAAGGGCACTGCTTTTTCAAAAGAAGAAGGTTATGCAGGCCCTGGAGAAGTCCAAAACTCGCATTGAATTGCTGGATGAGCTTTCTGCTAAGCTTAATGAGGTAAGACGGAATGACGCTTATATGCTTGAAACGATTGACACCACGGGACAGGTTTTGAGTAAAAATAGAAAATTGTATAAGTTCTGGAAGTAATTTATATAAAAAACTTCAGATGAACTGTATAGTGGTTTCAGATCTTTTGAAATATCATTGGGTTTGTGCTGGTAGTTATTTACAATTCATTATGCCACCTATATGACTATGTTATAGTTTCACAAGTAATTGTAAAAAGTGCTTCTGCTTTTGAAGATCTGGAAAACATGCCTCGTCCTTATTATTTATTAGTATTTTGTTACTTGAAGAATGATTTGGTTTATTGAAGTAAAGTTAGAGGTTCTGAACTTCATGCCTCTGATTTGCTTTGTTAACAAACTTTAGTTGCTATCAGTTTTATGTCACAGGAATATCTTTACTAGAACAGAAGGGTTCATAAATATTTTCCTGTCAAGAGTTAAGAATAAGAAAAGCA